CTCAGTGAGAGGGGGCTTGGGGGGGGGGGCTCTGCAACTTACCTGGATGCTTCTTGCTCCTCATGGCCCAACTGAGGGCTGCTGGGAGCAGGGGGCAGGGCTTGTTGCATGTGCCCTGCCCCCTGGGCTCCTTACTGCCGGAGCGCCGCTCCTGTGCGCTCCTGCCGGACATGCCCCCTGGTCGTCAGAGACATCATCAAATCTTGGTGAGAGAAACAGGAATAATATCAGTGTTGGGTAGCTTACGTCTAGGAGGACCCACAAAATTTCCAGGAGAGAAGAGGCAAGAGTCCAGCAGCACCATAAAGGCTAACAAAATCTGTGGCAGGGTAGTCCCTGCTCACTTCTTCAGATCTGAAAAGAGCAAGAGTCCAGGAGCACCTGAAAGACTATAGCAACATTTGTGTCAGGGGATGAGTTTTTGAGTGTCACTCCTCACTTCAGATACCCACTTTAGAGCAGCGTCAGATTCTGCGGCATCTGGTATCTGAAAAAGTGAGCGGAGACTTGCGAAAGCTCCTCCCCTGCCCTAAATTCAGGGGTCATTTCCTGCAGGAGCGCACAGGAGCGGAGCTCTGGCAGTAAAGAGGCCAGAGGGCAGGCACATGCAACAAGCCCCACCCCCTGCTCCCAGCAGCCCCGGGCCACAAGGAGCAAGAAGCAGCTAGGAAAGCTGCAGACCCCCCCGACCCCCCCAGTCCAAAACAGTCCAGTGGCACCTTTAAGACCACGTTTTATTCAGGTACAAGCTCTCCCTCCTCTGTGAGGTCAGATCTGCATCCCCCCCCCAATAGCTAGCAATCCAAAACAGTCCAGTGGAGCCTGAGCGGTGGGTGTTGCCTTTTGATACACTTCTGGTGATGTCAAGGGGTGTGGCATATGCAAATAAGGTATGCTAATGAATTATGCCAATGAGCTCCTGCACCTCTTTTTCTACGAAATGACCCCTGCCCTAAATTTGGTTAGTCTTTAAGGTGCTCCTGGACTTTTGCTCTTTTCTTCTGCTACAGACAGACTAACACGGCTACCCGTCTTGCTCTCTCTCCATGGAAGATTGCCAGGGTGTGAGCTTTCGAGAGCCAGACTTCCCTTTGTCAGTACTAGGTGAGACTTTGTGGTGTGGTGGCCAGGATATCGGACTGGAACAGCGGGTGGCCGAACTGGTTCGACGTAAGGACCCCGTAGAATAAATGTCAGATGTTTGAGAGCTGCAAGACGTAAACAAATATCACACATGTTTTTATTGAAAGTTATGCAAATTTGCTTTTCATTAACACTAAATGAGACTGCCCAAAATAAAAACAAACAGATATTGATAATGATATTTATTTGTCCAGTGATATTTCTTTGTTTGCTAGTGATATTTATTTGTCTAAGAGAGAGAGAGAAAGAGAGAGAGAGGTGGAAAGAAAGAAGGAAAGAGGTGGAAAGAGAAAGAGAGAGAGAAACAAAGAAAGAAGAAGAGAGATTTATACCCCGCCCTTCACTCCCGAGAGGAGTCTCCCCACAACAAGACACCCTGTGAGGTGGGTGGGGCTGAGAGAACTCTGACACAAGCTGCTCTTTTTCAAGGACAGCTGTGCCAGAGCTTGTGACTGACCCAAGGTCACACCAGCAGGTGCAAGTGGAGGAGTGGGGAATCAAAGCCGGTTCTCCCAGATTAGAGTCCTCACCCTTAACCACGACACCAAACTGCCCTTCCCCATGTAGAATTAGGTACTGACAGATGGCGATTTTTAGAAGCCTCCTAAATGAGTCCTGACTTTGGCAAAAGGCAGGGTATATAAATACTCTGCCGTGACCTGGACGGCCCAGGCTAGCCAGATCTCATCAGATCTCAGAAGCTAAGAAGGGTCGGCCCTGGTGAGGACTTGGAGGGGAGGCCACCAAGGAAGTCCATCAGAGATGGGCAATGGCAAACCCACCTCTGTTGCTCTTCTTGCCTTGAAGACCCTATGGGGTCACCCTACGTTGGCTGCAACTTGATGTCACTTTCCACCCTCATAAGCAAGATCAGGGGTGTACAGCTTGGTGCGGTCAGTCGTGGCTGCCTCTGCCCTAATCAGGGTTGCATCGAGGGAGCCTAGAGTCACTCATTAACCCCTTGAGTTCCAGGGTCAAGGAGAGGTCCTAGGATGTCAAATTGGGAGAAAGTGACTGTTGAGAGCCAGTTTGGCGTAGTAGTTAAGAGCGCAGACTCTTACCCGGGAGAACTGGGTTTGATTCCTTACTCCTCCACATGCAGCTGCTGGTGTGACCTTGAGGTCAGACCTTGAGAGCCAGTTTGGTGTAGTGGTGAAGTGTGCGGACTTTAATCTGGGAGAACCGGGTTTGATTTCCCACTCCTCCACTTGCACCTGCTGATGTGACCTTGGGTCAGTCACAAGCTCTGGCACAGCTGTCCTTGAAAAAGAGCAGTTTGTGTCAGAGTTCTCTCAGCCCCATCCACCTCACAGGGTGTCTGTTGTGGGGAGGGGAAGGGAAAGGAGATTGTAAACTGCTCCAGGACTCCTTTGGTTAGTGAAGGGCGGGGTATAAATCCAATCTCTTCTTCTTGGTGTGAGGCAAGACAAGGTGGGTCTGGAGGACCAACTAGGTATGACTTCATCAGTCAGTAGCTAATTGGTTCTCTATGCATTCTCGCTGGGAATGTCCCTGGTAGAATGATTTGTAGGTTGATGTCAACTCGTCTCTTTGAAGGTGTCCTCTCAAGCTAAAAGAGCCGGATGCCATTCCAGGAATACCTTGGAGACCAACAAGATTGGGTGGGGCATAAGCTTTTGAGAGTCAAAGCTCCCTTCTTCAGATACGAAGCTCTGACTCTGGAAAGCTTATGCCCTCCAGATCTAGTTGGTCCCTAAAGTGGTACTGGACTTCAATCTAGATCTTCTACTGCAGACTAACATGGCTCCCATCTGAAACTGTTAAGGTACAACACTTGGACAAAAACCTCCCCAGGACTCAACAGGGATATTGGTTTCTTGTCTCATTACATATGCTAACTCAGTCCTGTTAAGGTACAACACTTGGACAAAAACCTCCCCAGGACTCAACAGGGATATTGGTTTCTTGTCTCATTACATATGCTAACTCATTCAGTCCTCGCATATGTATTCTCAACAAGAAGGACTATAAATCCTCTGTAGTTTAGTGTATTTCTTTTTCAGAACAGTATGTTAGAATACTGAATGAACGAATGATGTTTATTTGCGGTCAAGGACTGTTTATCAAAATCTACAAATTCATTAAAATACAAACAAATTGCCTTTCAGCTCCAGAAATATTTTGACATATTTAGACATATAACCTTAAAATTATTAAAATGTTAAAAGGAGAAGAGTTTAACAATAATTATAAAATGTCTAAAACTAATTATGAGTCATTAACAAGGTGGGTGTTATACTTATCTACTTCTTATTGTGGAATTTTACCAGTTGCAAGCAATGCTCCCTCTAAGCTGTGGAGTCTTGTGAGCAAAAATCCTACTTTGTGAGCTACTGGCATTAAAGTTGTGAGCGAGCAATTTGGCTGCTGCATAAATTAGTTTGCTCTGGAGCCCTCCTTCCTGAGCTAAGGCAAAAATGTGTGAGCTGGAGGCTAACAGACTGTGAGCTAGCTCACACTAACTCAGCTTAGAGGGAACACTGGTTGCAAGCAGAATTTTGTTATTTGTCTGGAAATTTGCTGACTTTCCTCTACCACAAGTCTCTCTAGAATACTGAATGTAATGCAAGGAATATTGGGATTTTTGCAGACATGACAATGCATCCACCTCAAAAAGCGCCGTTAAGTGCTCTCCACACCTGGGAGGAGAGAATGGAGAGTCTCAGTTTGCTCCCCACAATTAGAAAAGACACCTTTAGACATTTATCTGCTCTTCTGACATGCTTGTGGCTGTACAACCGTCCACATTAGAACCTTAGCTTGTTATGTAGGTCTGACTTTCCATATCTTAGACATCACCATTTTGTTGTTCAGTCGCACAGTCGAGTCCGACTCTTTGCGACCCCATGGACCAGATCATGCCAGGCCTTCCGATCTTCCGCCGTCCTCTGAAGTTTGCTCAATATTTGATACTGGCCATGGGGTTTTCTTGGCAAAAATACTGGAGTGGGTTGCCATTTCCTTCTCCAGGGGATCACCCTTGGTCTGAGTTCTCTGCTGTGGCCTGTCCGTCTTGGGTGGCCCTCCACGACATAGCCCACAGCCTCATCAAACCATGCAAGCCCCCTCGCCACGACAAGGCAGTGATCCATGAGGGGGAGACATCACCATGTTACATGTCAATTTGCTGTCGAACCACTGTCTACAAGTTTAGAACCTTACCTTCCATTTCAATCTATTTGAAAAAGTGTGCCTGCACACGGAAGCTCATACCTTGAATAAACCTTTGTTGGTCTTAAAGGTGCCCCACTGGACTCTAAATTTCTTAAGGTGCCCCTCTTTCTTCCAGATGACTCCAGACTCTCTGATCTACAGCACCCGTCTCTACTACAAACCCGCGCTTGGAAGCAACCCGGTCATCATTCGAACCAGCCCTGTCGAGGTCCCCATTGAGTGCCATTACCCAAGGTGGGGCCCTGTGAAATCCTGCCTCTGTGAGTAGGCTTGTTCCTCGAGGGACCTGGCTTCTCAACGGAGGTCTCTCCTTGTGACGACCTCCTTATTCTGGAGGACTGGTTTCCCTTTAAAAGTGTTCTTTATTTTATTCTACTATGTATATACGGCTGCCACCAGGAAATTTAAGGCTTTCCAAACCTTTATACTTTTACTTCTGCTCTTGCTGGTTAGGTAGACCGAGTACAAGGCTTATGAGGTACGATGTGGTCCTGAGAAAGTATTTCTTTC